AGAATTAATAGAAATCAATTAAAATTGAAAGAAAACCAAGGAGGTCTAAATTTAATATCAACTGCTGAAAATGTAAAGCATTACTCTTTAAAAATATGATAAAACAGATCATAACAAAGGAAATCAACACAGGATTTTTAGAACTTTGGATCAATAATAAACATTTTCCGAAATCTATTAAAAAAGAATGGGTAATTATAAATGAAAAATATCAATGGAATCTAGAAAATACTACAACAAAAGAAATATATATAAAACTAACTAATGATTATACTCCAAGAATAATGGAGAAAACCCCGAATTTGAACTGGAATAATATTTGGAAGAATTTAAAAAACAAAAATATTCCTTCTGACTGGAGAACCACGAACTATATGATAGTCAATGAATGCATAGCCATGAAAATGAAGCTGTTTAAAATGAAAATGGCTGATACTGCTAATTGTACAAAATGTAATAAAGAAGAAAATGCAATACATTTCTTAACAGAGTGCGGTGAAAATAAAACGATATGGAATTGGATGAAGCATAGACTGAAATTATTAAAAATTAATCTAAATGAGAAAGATTATAAATTAATAAAATTCGACATTATGAAAAGACCAGAAGAAGAAAACAATATCATAATATGGCTATTATCTGGTGTTCTAAATAATATATACAATGGAATTGAAGAATTAACATTAATCGAAAGGAATTTAAGAGAGAAGCGGAAAGACTACATAATAAGAAATAAAAATAAGAATAATTCATTTATGTACAAAATTTTGTAAATTATAATGTAGATATTTAAGAAATAATTATAATTATATAAAAATAAAAAAAAAAAAAAAAAAAAAAAAAACATAATATGCTAATATCTATTTACTTAATAGAAAGCCATATACAATATTTATAATGAACCTAGAAAGTAAACAAATGCGCATTTTTATAAAAATGTGCTAATTGTAGAATGTAGGCATTCGACTTGTGGTAGCTAGATATTTCCAGTTGTTCAAGACCCTAAATTTCAGAAACCACAAGTCGAATGTCAATAATCTGCATACTACAACTAGTTCATTTTTATAAAAATGCGCATTTTTTTACTTTCTAGGTTTATTTATAAATATTGTATATGTCTTTAAGTAAATAGATATTAGCATATTATGTTGGAATCCACTACCGTGGACCCGCATTTTCAAGTTGCCATGTGGTGGTCTCATATGAATCACTTTGGAAATTTCTGAAATTTAAAGGATTGCCCTTTCAATGTTATCTGTTTTCTGTGTGCATAATTCATGTTTTATTGTTTGAAGCAATTGGTGTACATTTTTTTATTATATATAGTCTAAAATAATATTTATAGAGTTCTAAATCCTAATATTGTATTTTTTTTTACTGGAGTTTTACATAGATCATAACTATGATGATTAGTTGTTTTTTTATTATTTGATAATAGAGCATCGTCAAAATTTTCAAAAAAGCATAATTTCTTAGCATGTACGAGGCTATCTGAGATTGAACAACGATATGTCCTATTAGTTACGTTTTTATTTTATTTTGTAAACAAAATTTTACATTTTTTGTTTAAATATTGTTGTTGTACGACTATTACTTTCTATGTAGTGACAACGAATGACGTCAATGTCAGTGTCAGTCGATTATATATGTAATGCACTACTAATGCATAGCAGTGACGTTCAATGCATTTTATTTTTACGTACAATTTATTTATAGTGGCAGAAAGCCACGTGCGAGTCCTAATATGTAGAGATAACCTTGAAAAACCTGAATAATTACATAGTACTTCGAAATTTAATTAAAATATTTCATTATCGTTCTATAATGTTTGTTTGTTAGTAGATGGGCAGTTTTGATAATGGTCCAAAATTTCTATCGTGTTTTCAAGGTACAACAATTTTGGAACAATCTTATGGAATAACAAAAGTTTCCTGTCAATCAGCGTTATATGAGTTCCCTTGGTTTGTTGACAGCAATTGTTTTTTGTAGAGAAAAAGAAATAGATTACCATGTACCGTTACGTTAACTTGTTCTTCAGTCTCGGAATGCTGACACTGCATTTTCGAAAGCATCGATATTTTTACCGAAACAAAAGCTTTGTTTATGTAAATCGCGGTCGTTTCTCACGTTTATTCAGATAACGAATAGTTCTCTATGTAAATAAGCGATATACTCTAGTTTATGTTTATATAAAATAATAGTTTGTTGTAGTTTTGTTTTAATAACTGAGAACGATATCTCGATGTTGGTTTGAGAAAAATAGCAGTAAACATTGCGGCTTACATTTTCCATAACAACGCATGATATCCTTTGGGAATAATGGAATGTTTATCTCGACAATATTACAAATCGGTTCTGAAAATTCATTTATAAATAATTTCATTTTATTTTGATATATAAGCAATGCTTCTACATGGTATAATTCAAGCTATTAATTGCTCAATAAATGTTTGCCAGCAGTTTGTAATAAGAGGGCAACAAAATATTTTTGTTGTATATTTGCTTATAATGGAATTTAAATAGTTAACGCTTTATATTCTCAACATAGATTGAAATAGACAGGTTGAAATAATACCATTTGCTTTCATTTAATTTCTTTTTCATTACTCGCATTATGTTCAAGAAGAGTATTTATCAAATGAATATTCAATTGGTGATACTAATTTAGGATTTCTACGTCGCTTATTTTTAGTCCAGTGTATTTACCAGATCTTACGCTATTTTTAAAGATGTAACTGTATGAAATGAAACTGGTAATTGCTAAAAATACATTGAGTGCGTGCTTAGATCAAAGCACTAAACATAATTTAAGCCAATAATGAAAATTATTAAAGCATTGTTTTACTAGCATGTAGAGTTGCATACATCATCAAGAAGGAAAATGAGTAGCTACAAATAGATGTTGTAAATTGATAATGGTAACTGGTACAATTGATAATTAAGGTTAAATTATATCATTGCTTAACGTCAAGCTGTCGTTGACTATAATGTATTAGACGCGTGGATTATTCTGATACTAAAAGTTTTATTATTTAGTTAGTAGTTTCCGCTTAGCGAACTGCTGATACAATATCGACACTCTGATTTTATTATTTATACGAAAAATTTTGAAAATCAATAATAATTTTTGATACCAACTTATTTTTCTTTTTGTTATCTGTTTATACTGCTACCCGTCAAAAGTGTGCCACTTTGCATGTTCTGTATAGCAAATGAATGATTAACACGTTAATTGCCATGTCAGTCATATGTGTCTGACATACGCGATTTGGTAGAAAGTCACATCAATCACAGATGTCCAACGTTAACGATACATTTGCAGTATGGTTCGACAGCCTGGCTTCTAAGTAACAGAACTTAAAAATGTCTTGGCATATTACAAAATAAACCTATAGTTATATAATGTTTCAGTTAAAAAAATACATTTTAATAATATAATTAACTATATTTTTTCATTATGCTATCCAAAACATTCTGTGAAAAAAGGGCTGTTGTTCGCAGTCTAAGCAGTACGTTTAATTTAATTATCGATTAAAGTTACTATGGCCGATGTGAAAATTTTTTTGATGTGATCGTGGCGATTAACGTGTTAAGTAAAATCAGTACGATATAGCAATTCTTTCGCTACGGCAGTGTTTTCTGCAAGGAATGTCGCTGCTGTACGGGAACAGCGTGCCTCAGTTGCACTACTGAACGGACAGACAAAACGATATATTTTAAGGGGGGCGATACATGTAACAAGAAAAAAAATCGATTTTTTTTTCATAAATCGTTACAATAACATCTCAAAAATATGCCTGTAAATATTCAAAACAAAATTATCATTATTTATACAATAAAAACTCATTTAAGTGCCACGCCTCAACTCGACGCTTGAGTGCTATTGTACTCTTATCTGTTTCTGTGTCAAAACTTTAAACGCGTTTTTCTCAAAACGACATTTTTGAAATTTGCGGGCGGGATAACTCAAAAAGTTCTCAACCGATTCCAATGAAATTTTGCACACATCTACTTTACAGTAATAGCTTCTAGTTAAACCTCAAACATTCCAAAAAAATTTTCAAAAATTAACCCTTTTACCAAAAAAAACCATTGAAAAAAAGGTGAAAAATCGAACTTTTTTTTCTGAGGTGTGCCAATTTACGATTTTGTGACTTTTTTAATTTTTTTTTGGTTTAACTAGAAGATATATGTTTTATGAACACGTACAAACTAATTTTTTTGATTTCAAATCACGGTACGAAAAGTGAGAACGCCTGCAAATTGATGGCGTTTTCCGAGAGGGTCTTGGCAGATTTATTTTTACGGCAGCCATTTAAAAAAAAAATTAAAAAAAAATTTTTTTGTGTATTTTAATATATAATAAATAACCCTAAAAAAGTTCAAAAAGATTCAGTCATTCCTTTACAGTTTAAAAAGTCCTCAAAAAATGGTAAAAATTAAGGCGATTACATGTATCGCCCCTCTTAAGATATTTCTATCATTATCAACAAAAATGTGTTAAAAAATTCAGAATTACGCTTTTAATGAACTAGAAATTATAATAATAAATTATAAAATTATAATATAATACTAAAATAGAATTTTCAATAGTTTGTCATAGTGATAAATCTTGAAGTAAAGGCAAACACAACATGTCGTTCATGGACGACATCCGCACACCTAGCACGTCATGTGGCTGTCGTCTAGGCACGACATCCGTAGCGAAAGTGTTGAATTCATAGTCTTATTTATAAACTTACAGATGATGTTAGCTTTTTATTTAGTTTGTCATGGAGATGAGTTTAAGAGATTTGTTCTAAAAAAATAGACTTGTTAATAAAGGAGGGTAAAGTGCTTCTCCGCTTTTGAAGAAGCGTTTTATACAAAGTCTATTCAAAACGTCATCTGTATGTTAAATAGTCTAGCCTGACAAACCACCTATTTCCACGGTCTATTTAAATTGCACATTGATCGTACATTGACTTCGGTCGCGCACGCACGCGTCACCTCGTACAGAATCGCTGTCCGCTGTACGTAGTGCATGTGATGAGCAAGTCTGCAGGCCTGGAGGTGGCCCGTGCCCGTGGTCGTCCAGGAGCTGCTGTTTACGGTGAGACATTAGCCTGCGCTCTCGCATGCGACGGGCGAGCATACCAGGACACGTGTTGGCGGCATGCAGCCGCGCACGTGCTCAGTCCACCCCTCCGACCGGATCCAGCAACGCCAGCTTTTCTGATGTCCCTGCTGGCGCAGTGAGTAACTAAAGACATGTGTATTTTGCTATTGACTTCTCAATTTGTATGAAGAGCACATTAATTTCAACATCTAATAACTTTAACCAAAATCTAATATTTATTATATTATTCACTGCATAATATCACCCTTTGCAAGATTGTACAATTTGTTAGAACTATTTTTTTATATTTTGATTTGATGGAAAACACAATCACAATTCTTGTAAATTCTTGCAAGATTGTACAATTTGTTAGAACTATTTTTTTATATTTGGATTTGATGGAAAACACAATCACAATTCTTTTTGCTCAAGTCATTTAGTTTTCCATTTTTATTTATAATAATTATAATGAATCATTGATTTTTGGAGTTCAATAATTTTTAGATGTATAATTAGTACTACATTGTTGTTGTCCCTACATCATACTAACGAGGGGCTAAGTGACATTTGTTTTTTTTTTGGTTCAAAGTTAACTTTAAGTATATGTGAAGTTCGAATAACAAATAATTCTAACACGAACGAAGAATTATTTCGTATGACTTACGAAAATAACTGAAAATAATAAAGGAATGGAGCTTTTTAATTAATTTGCTTTTCAAGCTATTTCGTATTACATGTTAGTCAGTATGATGAACAATGTTTTTTTATTTTGCATGCTACTTATTGCGGTCTGTATTGTATATAGCATTTGATGTAGTTTATACGTAGTTTCCTTATTCAGTATTATAAGTTTTCTAGTTCGCGTGTTTGCTTTTATGGTGTGAAGTTTATGTGAGGAAAGTGATAGTTTGAAAATATTTGTAATAATTGATCTTTTGCGTGAGGAAATTTTTCATATTGCTTACTGATACGATCATTCTAATGAGAATATAATTCTATACATTTTCCTGTTCAAGGGCTAACTAATATTAGAAAAAATTGAATGGTGGCAGCAGGCTCAAAAACTAATTAAATTTATGATGTGCATTTCAAAACATTGGCACAGTTTTACCTGTTTTTTATATAAAAATATATACTTTAAGGAGTCTAGAATAATCGACAAATTTTATTAGTTCTGTAGCAGTAGTAAATGATCTGAAGGTTGAGAAACGAGGGTGTCAAATTAATTGAAATCTAATTTAATGTAATTAATATCGTTTGACAGTTGTAATCAATTAATATCTTTTGAAGCAGTTTGTAAAATGTTAATAAACATACTTAGATAGACTTACAATATTTTTTAACAAATTAACTGGTTAAATTTTAAATGTGATACCAGTATTTTAATATAGTAGACGATAGGTTTTATATTATCAAAGTATGGGAATAGTTCAAAATTGAATTCTAATACAGCGGTTTATGATAAGTTTTATTAAATGTTTATAAAAAACCCGATAAACCGCGTGAATCAGGTGAAATCGCCGCTCTACGTGCTGCACGTGATGAGCCGTGCGGCCAGTGAGGTGGTCGCCGCCAAGAGACGGGACGCCATACGTTCCGAGTGCGCGCTCTACGGCGAAGTAGTTGCCTGCGCCCTACGAAGTCCTGCGTCCAGGTCCAACTCGAACCTGTTACGCGATGCCACCAGCCCACCAATGCCGCGCGATGAACGTACCGCCACAGGCTTAATAAAGATGCTGGCCTCGTAAGTCAACGTAGAGTCGGAAATTTGAAAAATCACTTTATTTTCAGCATTTCTCATTTTAGTCCAGTCATTTGGTGCAAAAAAAGGATGTTGCCGGTACAGTACTCCGGGAATTCTGAAAATTGGCAATCTTATAGATTTCGAGGTGCTCTTTACGAAAATCAACTTTGCCACCTCAAATTTGAACGGCAAGTTGCGGCCATATTGGAAAAAAGGCGTCAAACAACAGCTTTTTTAAAATATCTTTTTTCTGGCTGATTCTACAATAAAAGTATTTATGTACGAATTAAACTAGATAAAATTTCCTACAATTCCTTAGAAAACCGTTTTTCTATAAAATTGATAGTTTGAGAGTACGGCCGCCTCAAAGTCTTTGCTGCTCTCGCCGTAGTATCAAATCTCTCCATATATGACAGCACTTCGAACTTGATCACATTCTCTCTAATAATTAATATTTTAAGCGAATAAGATCTAGAAATAAAATAATTCAAATATTTTTCGTTTTTTTGCTGATTTTTTACACTTCAATGGCAAAGTAGCTATAAGTAAGTAGCTTGAAGTGTTAAAAAATCAGCAAAAAAACAGAAAAATATTTGATTTATTTTATTTCTAGATCTTATTCGCTTAATTTAAATTAAAAATATATTTTTATTAGAAGGAATGTGGTCAAGTTCAAAGTGCTGTCATATATGGAGAGATTTGATACTACGGCGAGAGCAGCAAAGACTTTGAGGCGGCCGTACTCCCAAACTATCATTTTTACAAAAAAAAAAACGGTTTTCTAAAGAATTGTAGGAAATTTTCTCTAGTTTAATTCGTACATAGATACTTTTATTGTAGAATGAGCCAGAAAGGAGATATTTTAAAAAAGCTGTTTTTTGACGCCATTTTTTCAATATGGTGGCAACTTCCCGTTCAAATTTGAGGTGGCAAAGTTTATTTTCGTAAAGAGTACCTCGAAATCTATAAGATTACCAATTTTCAGAATTCCCGGAGTACTGTACCGGCAAAACGACCAAATGACTGGACTATTTGGTGTATTATCAAAGAACGAAAGATTATCAGACTGCTTATTTTTACAAGTAGACTTTTAAATGATCTCGGCAATAATTTACCTGACCGATACATACTGTTTTTATTCAAATATTCTAGTCGTATATAAATTATTATATAAATTTTCTGTTGGAAACTCAATATATGTAAAGTTTTGCTAATGTGCAAATGTAATGTATAATTCAATATTTATGAAGCTATCACATTCTATTGCTGCTCTTAATACTTTGCACTGTATAATAATATACTACACTGTTTGCCGTGCAGAATTTATAATCTATCTAACAAATTACACTAACAGCCTGGAAAATGGATTTCATGAAAAATAATTTTTATCAATAGAAATTATGGTGACTGATTTATTATATAATAATTTCACTATACATTTTTACTTCCCTCTTATTTATATAACAAAAATTATTGTTACTTCGTATACTGTGTGAATCATATGTTTTAAAATATTTACCGACTAATAACATTTGTATAAACAATCGTTGTACAAAATATCAATGACTCAGAAAACTCGAATGACGAACGCTTAATTATTGGTATATTTATAAATGCAGGTGTAGGAATTTAAATTGTTTGAAATACTTACATTTGTTTTATTGTTAGTTTATATCAGCTAATTTCATGTCTAAATCATAGCAAGGCTTTGCTGAAGAAAAAGGTTTCTGACGAAACGTTTTCTTATGCTATTGATATTTTGGGGGTTGAAGTATTAAATATGAATTGATTTTAGTTATTTAAACAATTAGATATTAAAGTTTAAAAAAATACTATTTGTATAGAAAATTTATTTTTATACGTTTACAAGACTTGCCTTAGCCTAATTTGATTCATATATTTTTGTAATTTATTTATTTTTATTATTGTGTTATGACAATATAGAGATGATTTGCAAGTCACTGGTTCAGACAATTGCACCTTCAATGAGTCCCAGAAAGCTCTTGGAGCTAAGGACTTCACCAAAATTCCAAATGGTGTGAACGGTGTCGAAGATAGAATGTCTGTGATTTGGGAACGTGGTGTGCACGCTGGTTTGATGGATCCACAGAGATATGTTGCCGTGACCAGCACTAATGCAGCTCGTATTTTCAATTTATATCCACGTAAAGGCTGTATCGCCGAAGGATCTGATGCTGATATCCTCATTCTTAATCCCACTAAGACGCGTGTTATTTCAGCCAAGACACATCATCAGGCGGTGGATTATAATATTTTCGAGGTCAGTATAGAAGGCAGAATAACTAATAATCTGGCATAGTCTATCTTTTTTAATGCAAAAATATTTCTCATTTATCATTATCTATCTATTCACAGGGTATGGAATGTCACGGTGTTCCAGAATACGTTATTGTGAACGGTCGTGTTTGTGTCGACGAAGGCGACCTGAAAGTTGTGGAAGGCCATGGAACTTTTGTAGAGACACCATGTCATGCACCATTTGTCTATGAGACACCACAAGGATCCATAGCAGCCGTAAATGATATGACACAACAGTTGCAGATAGATGTGCCACCGAGCAACGGACACCATGAACCACTACCACCAGCTGGAGCTCCTGCCTATGCAAGGTTAGTAGATTTCGTTTGGTTCATTATGCTTTTATTAATTAATTTATCGATGAAATAAAAGGAACTATTTAAAACACTTCATGAACAATATTTATATCATGGACAGTTTCTTTTGCTCTTTATTATATTGTATTTGTTAAGTGTTTAATTCATTTTCCTAAAAGCTTGTGCTTGAAGTTAAAATATTATTACTGCGTTCTTGATATATGTTCTCTAAAATGATTTTATAGCGGAATAGATATTACATATATTGTCTGAAAGGCTACAAGAACCTCACGCATTAAACAAGTCTTGGTAAAGATATTAGAAATATAGGGCCAATTCTCAGATAAAATAGAAATATTATGCTACGGGTTATTGTCAAATAGCTATGTTTATCCTATGCGGTCAAGCGTTTTACTCTAATTGTAAATCAATTTCTAAAACCTAGCTTCCAAGAGGCACAAATGCGAAATAACAATTTTATCATAAGTGCAACTATCTGTTGTCACTTTGATAACACATACGTGAAGTCTAACCAAAGTTAATAAGATGAAGTTTGTGCCTTTTGGAGGTTAGGTTTTATGTGTGAAACGCCTGATCGAGCAGCAAAGACATAAAATGACTCTTCTTGACTACCAACTTATACTATTATTTATTTTATCCGAGAATTGGCCAAAATTAAATTCTGCTTAATTTCTTTGCGAAATTATAAATCATGTATTGTGGCGGAATTAGCTCATGAGTAGCGTTTCCGACTCACACGCAGGAGGTTCGGAGTTCGAATCCTCGACAAAAAATATTGTTAAAAAAATAGTTTAAATTAAAGTTAAAAATAGTTTGAAATAGTATTAAAAATAGTTCAATCGTGAATAAAATATTAGAGAATAAAAATTGAATAGAAGTAAGGAAGGAAGTAATGGAAGTAAGAATAGAAGTATTGAAGACGTAAGAAGATAGAAGATACAATGATAGATGATAAAGAAGAAAAAAGAAGAATGAAGTTACGTTGAAGAATACATAGAATAGGATAGAATAGTTAGAAATAGAAAAGAATAGAATAATATATACATAGAAAATAGTTGGAAATAATGTTAAAAATAGTTTGAAATAGTATTAAAAATAGTTCAATCGTGTACAAAAGATTTGAGAATAAAAATTGAATTGAATAGAAGTAATGAAGGAAGTAATGGAAGTAAGAATAGAAGTAATGAAGACGTAAGAAGATAGAAGATACAATGATAGATAATAAAGAAGAAAAAAGAAGAATCAAGTTACGTTGAAGAGTACATAGAATAGGATAGAATAGTTAGTAATAGAAAAGAATAGAGTAATACATACATAGAATTGTGGGAGTAGTAATGATTATTATAATATATTAAATTAGAAACTCCCAACAATAAAAAAAATATAAATTTATTAACTATAAAAATATTTCGATATCAAAAATATACATGACATGTCCGATTGTTTTTTACATATCAAAACCAGCCTGCTTGATATCGCCACACACTCCCTGCCCAGTGTTGATCTCACAGTTTAAAAAAAAATACAGGGAAACACGTTATAAAAATGTGGTGGGAAAGCAGATTATAGCAGACCAGTGTTGTAATACTGGTCAATTACAAATTTCCATGTTTCGTCAGCAGATCCACCGTATGTGGTGATTTGACCTGCCATCAACTCCATATTCTGCATAATGTTCTCGATCTAATGGGTATTAGTTATATCAGAATAACTTAATGTTTAGAATGCATAATTTATGGGTACAGTTTCCATTTCTGCAAGCGTTGCATTCGTATCTGATGAGTTCCGATCAGAGAAAGAAGTTGGCTCTTTATCCAAATCAGGATCATTGGTTTCTTTGACATAAGAGTCCAGAATTGTGGAATCCAATAAATTATGTCAAATTTTGTTTTGATTTGTCGTTGTCACCGATAATGGGAGGTAGCATTATAAGACGATTTGTTGAGTTAACAGAGAAAGAGAGGTTGAATTGCATTCCAATGAAAAGTTCAGGCTCCAAATTATTTTTTCTGTCAGCAATAGACACTGAGGTCTGGGTATACCAAATGAGTAACCTCGGAAGTCTGATCCAGATAGTAAGTGCGTTAACTATGATGGATTGGACTGGACATACCTTATAGGTCGTCACTGAAGACCAGTGATTATGGTGCTGCGTCAAAATCAATTTTTCTTAAATCTTCGAAAAATAAAACTCCTTTATCTTCATCTCCATCGTCGTGAGTCACCAATGTGGGAGTAGTAATGATTATTATAATATATTAAATTAGAAACTCCCAACAATAAAAAAATATAAATTTATTAACTATAAAAATATTTCGATATCAAAAATATACATGACATGTCCGATTGTTTTTTACAAATCAAAACCAGCCTGCTTGATATCGCCACAGAATAATAGTTTGAAATAATGTTAAAAATAGTTTGAAATAGTATTAAAAATAGTTCAATCGTGTTCAAAACATTTGAGAATCAAAATTGAATTGAATAGAAGTAATGAAGGAAGTAATGAAGACGTAAGGAGATAGAAGATACAATGATAGGATAATAAAGAAGAAAAAAGAAGAATGAAGTTACGTTGAAGAGTACATAGAATAGGATAGGATATAGAATAGAAAAAAGAATAGGATTTATATGAGGAAAATAGTATGAACATGAAGATTGTATTGAAATTGAAATATGTTGTAGGTGGCTAAATTACAAATTATTTACAAATAAGCTCCTTACATAACTATAGGTTGTTTTACTGCTGAACATTGTTTTTTTTACAATTGTAAAAACGATTTACTCCGTAGATCCCCATACGCATTAAGTCCGGCTTTATCCTTTGCACCGAGTTTAGCCGACAGTACGGTGAGTAGTACCGGCAAAGCTCCCCGTCAGGAAGGACAGCGTAATTTACAGGATTCCACTTTCTCTATCAGCGGTAATTTACTGATGTTTTGCTTTTGGAATGTTTTGTTGTAGTATTGGCATGCAGAGTTATATTAACAATTCGTCAAGAAGATCATTCATTCGCTTTTTTATATTTCTTTATTCGTGCAACTAACTCTAATCACGCTAATTTTATCATTTTATTTAGCTTGAGCACTTTTTATTTGGCGTTGTCATTTTTTGCGACACTAACTTCATAATTAATAAGGTGGAATGTTATTATCGTTTGTCGTTATTTTTGGTAATACTAATCTCATCAAAATTATTTGGATAGAATGTTTTTATATTTGGACATTTTAATTTTTAGTGACACTAACTTCATGAAAATTATTTTGGTGGAATATTGTTTAGTTTTCGTTGTAATTTTCGACGACATCAATTATATAAAAATTATTTGGATAAATATTTTTGTAGTTAGACGATGTCTAATGATAATATTCGGTGACACTAATTTCATAAAATGATATTTTTTAGTTGAGCGTTATAATATTCTGACACTAATTTCATAAAATGTATTTGAGATGAATATTTTTTAGTTGGGCGTTATAATTTTCGGTGACAGCAATTTCAATGGAATTACATGTCCCTGAATATTTTTTTGTTGGTTAATTATTTTCGGTGGCACTTATTTCATAAAAATTATTTGGGTTGAATATTTTTGTTTGAAAGTTGTACTTTTTGGTGACACTAATATCAACAAAATTATTTGTGTTAAATATTTTTTTGTTGGGCGTTGTAATTTTCGGTGACACTAATTTCATAAAATTGCATTTGGGTTGAATATTTTTATAGTTGGTCGTTGTAACGTTTGGTGGCATTAATTCCATACAAAATAATGGGGTTCAATATTTTTATAATTGCCGTTGTAATTTTCGATGATATCAATGTTATAAAAAAATAGGTAAATATTTTTATAGTTAGACGTTTTAATTTTCGGCGATATCAATTTCATAAAAGTTATTTACACGTTGTAATTTTTGGTGACCTAATTCCTTAAAATAGCATTTGGGTTGAATATTTTCATAGTTGGTCGTTGTAATTTTTGGTGGCACTAATTTCATAAAAATTATTTGGGTGAATCTAAGTTCATAAAATGTACTTGAATCGCATATTTTTATAGTTTGTAGTTGTAATTTTCGATGAAATCAATTTAATAAAAAAATTAGGTGAATATTTTTATAGTTAGACGTTATAATTTTCGGTGACACTAATTTCATAAAATTGCATTTGGGTTGATTATTTTTATAGTTGGTAGTTGTAATTTTTGATGGCACTAATTTCATAAAAATTATTTGCGTTGAATATTTTTTGTGACGCTAACTCCATAAAATGTATTTTTGTTAAATATTTTTATAGTCGAATATTTGTAATTTTTTGTGACACTGATTTTATAAAAAATATTTCGGTTCAATATTTTTTAGTTGTGCGTTGAAATTTTTGGCGATTGGCTTTGATTAATTTCGAATTTTGAATTTTGGCTTTGATTAATCGATGATTTTTTCATTAATTTGCATATCTATTTATAGCAAAAAGTGTGTGTGATTGTATTAATTTTTTGCGAAAGGAATACTAAACAATGTAAATCTCTCTGTAAGTTACGTCATTTTTTCATTTATCATTTAGTTGTGTGGTTGTGGAATATTTAGTAGTTCAGTCATTTAAGCTTAAATTAGCTAAGAATCTCTGAATTCGAGATTCTTACAGACTTACTCAACTGTAAGTCTGTATATACTTGTATATTGAAACCCTAAAGTTGTCTTAAAACCTACATATGGTAGGGTGTTAATACCATATGTAGGTTTTGAAACAACTTTAGGGTATCAATATACAAGTATTTACAGACTTACTATTACAGCTGGGTATCTCGAATTCCGAAGTGAACTTACTATAATGACTGGACTCTTAGTGCTTATTACCGTATTAGCTTTTCTGTGTGCAATAATTTTTCATGGTTGATTGATAGACTCAATGAAGTAATTGATTTATTAGTGGTTACATGGCGCATGTTGAAAGTTTTTTACGAAGTGGACAGTTTGTACTCACTTTGCTTACAAATCACAATTCCCATTCCGTTACCATTGTGTTTATCGCATGGAGAGTATTATTTTTATTTAAAAAAATCTCATTGAATAATTGCAGAAGAGTTGGATGGTGGTGACAGACGCTCTTGTATTCGCGTCAAGAACCCGCCTGGTGGAAAGTCTTCCGGTTTCTGGTAAAACCAGAACAGAGTGCAATTAGTTATAATATATACTTACAACATCACACTACATATACACTCACAAACACGAATAGGACAACATCACACATATTACTTATTTGCAATTCGATAGAAAACTCATAATTAAGGAAGAAACGAATTTAAAATCAATGTGTTTCGGAATTTGGCATTCCATTACGCGTAACAGAGGTAAAGAAGAAAATTATGTTTTGGCATTTTGAAGATCCGACTTTTAATAGAGGTATTACAGATGAATTTTAAAACGATGTTTATTATAAAACTAAGAAACTTCATTTTATGAAAATCAAGTTAATAATTTAACATAGTTTTTTTTTGTTACTGTTGCGCGTATCAGAATCACTTCGTTAATTGCATTTTATGTATCACTGAGACACAAACAAAGGGTCGGTGTGATGTCGCGGCGGGAATAAAATTCTCAGGTACACATTGTAAAAAGTAGATGCCAAAAATTGAGTTCAAATCTTTACAACCTATAAAGCTTTATGATTTTATCCAAAGATGATATATTGTTGTAACAGTTTACAAAACTAGTCATGAAGTTGTTTGTTATTTTCAGAGTTTTGGGTATATTGTTTTTATATTTGCTGATTTAGAATCAGTTTTAGCTTTCTGTGCACACGCAGATAACATTATTTTGACAGTATTCTTGATTGATATATATTAATCTTGAGATATTTTTGAAAAATATTGATTTGTGTTGGAAAGATATTACGATATAGTATTTAATTTATTTATTATTTTCAAAAATATTTGTCATCGACCCTACTGCGCGCCCTTGTTATTTTGTTTTGATATATAAGATTTATTGTTGCTTAGTACAGTTCATATATTTATTTATTAGATTATATCATACTTTATATTCATATACATATATATATATATATATATATATATATATATCATTTTTCACTTGAGCATCGTACTAATGAATTAAACAAAGAGTATAATCGCTCGTAAAACTACGAACCAAAATGCACCTAGTCTTAAGTAAGCATAACAAAAATACCACCGCCAAAATGATCAATCAGAAAAAAATCGAAAACATTTGCACACCACACTAAAATCATTATTTATGATCATACCATCGAATCATGGAAGAAACTTTCAAACTACTTTCATACGATATGATCGTTTTTTAGTTCCATGGTTGTGATCCAAATTAAAGGATAATATTGGCTTCGCAGTTAATATTATCATAAGATCAGATTTGATCATAACCGTGGTTCTACCAGCGATTGTAGAGTATGAAAAAAAAAAAAATTAATATTTAATACTATTTAATATAATTTTAACGACTACCATTTAATAGATTTCTACTAGCTTATTGTACGTTTTTTCTATGCTCTTGAAACAATTCGTGATGTACGTGATTATATACACGTGGGAATCAAAGGTCACATTAGATAAATTTTTATAACAAATATTTAACACGTTTTTCATTTAAATGCAGATGTGCCATTCGCCTGAATAGCGCAATGCATTTATTTAAATAATATATTTGATCAACGTGACTATGTGTTTGGGGATTATTATTAATATTGTATTATTGTATTTATGTGTAATGTACAAAATTTGTTAAACAAGCTTTCATACATACACCATCACGCCAAAAAATAATTTTGGTGATTATTTTCAAATTTTAAGCGTCGCATGCATGGATTTTCAAAAATGGAAAGATAATCATATTTTTATTTAAAGTTCAATATTTGACGATAAAAATTATTTTTTGCATCCTTGTTATTTTTTTGACTTATTGATGATCAAAATTATTTTTAATTGACGATTAACATCATTTTTTGTTTTCTCCTTTCATTTTGATTAATTGACGATCAACATTATTTTTTGTTTTCTCCTTTTTGACTAATTGTCGAACAATTTTTTTTTTTATTTTTACTAATTGACGATTAACAATATTTGCTTTTTTTCTAATTAACTAATTGACGTTTAATATTTTTTGTTTTTTTCCTTATATATCGACTAATTGACGATAGAATTTTTTATTTGTATCCTGGTTTTATTTTGACCAATTGACGATCAAAATTATTATCATATCCTAGTTTTATTTTGGATACAAAATATAATATTTACGTACATAATTATTACGTATATTTGCATAATTATTAGTAAATAAACTTTTCTCGTAAGTTCTAAAGTTTAATGTTTTTAAATTAGCGGAAATAAATTTGAAATGTATTAATGAGTAATTAAAATACTTCAGGTAAATATTTCAGGGACTGAAAAAATATTTGAAATATTTTATCGCAATTTTTTATATTTTAGTTATAGGTTTGTATCGATTAATTCGACTAATTCAATGTGGTGTAATATTATGTGCTTTTTGAAATTGCTGCAGAAAAGTTATAATATAAGTAATAGCATATAGTTTCACAGTATGGAATATTGAAAATAGTCAGTTTCTATATATTTATTTTGAATTAATTATCTTTAATTTGTGAAAATCATGCGTAAGTTTTACATAGTGCAAGCTATGTCATAATATGAAAGATCGTGTGTATGAAAACTTTCTCTGCACGTGTTTAACATTCATACGTTATCGTTAAATTATCGTAACTATATAAATACAATGTAATGTATCGCAAATGCAAATGCATCGAAATGACGGCATTTCATTGCGACACATTTTTAAGAGAAAACAAAATACATTAATAAGTTATTTGTCATTATTTATTAATCAAATAAATTGAATACCAAATTATCATTGCGTTTGAATTATGAGCATTGTAGGCTTTTATTTTAAAGTTATATAATACTATGGATATAAAGCTATAATTGTCATTGTTGAAAGTTGATAATCACTATATCCCAATGAACCCATTAATTTTATTATACTGTTTTTCAATAGAAACTGTGCAAAATATAGTTGTGAACTTCATTCACAAACAAATTTCAATATTATTAAAATGGTATTTTTATATTTGCACAGTTCCAAAAATTACACTCCTAAAAGTTACATACAGATTTTAAGTTGAATGTTTGTAACGTAGAATATTAGCAGCATTTTTATAATTCTTTCTTTTGATGTTTTATAGAATTAACATTATTAATCTATTCAATTAAATTTTTAGTTTTTTGACTAAACTTCTTCGTCTTCTTCAGCTTTCTGGCGTGCCAGAGCTAGGATTCTTTGTAGTTCAGAGGATCGTGCTGTTTTGAACTGAAAAAAATACGAGAATATATAAGTTAATATGAAAATATATAAGTTAATGTTGGTTAAGAATGGAGCCTGCTTAGAAGCTTTATTTCGATTGTTTGGCAAAAATGTCTTTCTAAATCCAAGAATATCCCTAAAATTTCAGAAACAAATTCAAATTATTTTTGGAGTTACAGAAGAAACAGTGACAAGTGTCGAGCAGGTATACGAGCAGGACTGAAACTTCTACGCGCTATTTCTAGGTTTCTCATTTTTTCGATTTCTCAGAAAAATTTAACGTCCTATCGAAACGAGTCTAAATTGATTGTATTCAGGATTAAATACCTCTCTAGTTGAATCTAAAAAACCTTCAAAAAAGGTATAATCGTATCATTAACCCACTTTTCATTTAACTTTCATTGTAAGTGAATTTTTTTTCCAAGTTGTTAGAATTTATTGAATTTTTAACTCTTTTTAGATTTTGTAGGTTCAACTAGAATCTATACTACTGAAAATATGCATTTGGTTTTTTTTTTTTTTTTTTGTTTTGGATGGAAATTGTGACATGCAATTTTCCCTGCTCGCGGTGCATCGGCACAATGCCTGTATGTTGATCTGTATGTACCCGGCATATTATGGCATATATTTTAATGAAAAAATTTAGAAAAATGTTGAAATATATAACAATAAAGCCTGAAAGTTTCGTTTTAATTAAATATTTGTTTATCAAAAATATATTTTTTTAAGCCTCTAAAGCAGGCTCCCTCCTTGACTAACTAGCCAGAGAACATATTGAATTGTTTTTTGGGGC